GCTCAATATACAGGACTGGAAAAATAGATATTGTATACATTCTCTACAACAACAACAAAATCTAGAAAATACATGCAGGAGTTGGGTTTGCACTCCTGTGAATACCAAATTCTAATTTATATTAGAATCGAGACCATATTGTTTGGTCCTCGAGTCCAGCAACTACCTTCATATTTCCAAACCTAAAATACCCTAAAAATATATTTTGGCTGGAAGTACCTACCTACACAATTTGGCAAAACTTTTTCTGGAAGATAAATAGGACGGAGGGGAGCGATCGAGTAGTTGGCTAGGTCTCCCAATAGGATACCCACCTGAAGTATTTTAGTTGAAAAACGATAATTTATATGAAGAGCAATTTTGCTAAACATTTCTTATTTAGAAATACTTCATTTTTATGTTAGGAAAATGGGGGGATAGTTTGAGAATAATCGATAATGATACTTTTCTTATATTTATCGGATTGTGTGTACAATTCAGATGTACTTTCTTTAGTAATTGAGTAATTTTTTCTATTATTGGTTTATATTGTTAAATCCAGTTGGCATCAGATACCTAATGATAGCGGCTCTACTTCAGCAACTTCCAAAAATAATGTTTACTCCAATATGCTCTTTCATGATATCATGTCCAATAAGAATTTTGAGTATTTAAAAATTGATAAATGTTGCTGTTACTTCAAACAAGATGCTACAAAGGCAAAATTCAAGTGAAAAAAAAAAGACTAATATCGGAGTTTTTTACATGCAAAAACCTCCCAATTAATTTTTTTTCCATATATAAATCATTAAGGGTGCGGTCCTTTTGAAGCCCTAATGCCGTTTTTCTTTCTCATCCGAAAAAAAATAATATATTTAACCAATAAAAGTTGCTCAGTCCTTTATCACGTTTTCCACTTTTTCAGCTCGCGGCATGAAAATTTGTCAGGGTAGATTATCATTATTAAAAAAGGGCTTTTTAATTAAAATTATACCCTGCTGAACGATAAATAGCACAGGGGCGTTTAGAAAAATGTTTGAGTATATTCAAGATTTGTTATGTTAATTAGCTTTTACTCTGGGATTCATAAATTCAAAATTGACCTAATATCTTACCAAATATTCTCCAGTTTAGCGACAACTCTTTTTAAAATTCTCATATTTTATTCAAATGAAATCAAATCAAAGAAACCTCTTTCTCGATGTGCATCGAAATGCATAGAAAGTGAGCTATGAATGCAAGGTTACACTAGCAAAGACATGTGTGGAATAGATTGTATTATTTGATATTCACAAACTTCAATTATTTATTCCTGGCCAAAATATAAGAAGTAAATTTTTAAAATTTACAACTACTGCATATTCAATGGTTTAGTCTTTTTCTGGAATAAAAGTGCATATTACAAGAAACAACGGATTATGGATGAACTAGAAACAAGGCTAGGAATTGCACGGAAACAATTCGATACCCAATATGTTTAAAAAAAAAACATTGAAAAAGGTGTAAGGCAATTTTGGCACGTAACAAGCAATTTATTCTCCTGTGGTTTTCGGCAGGTTTCCCAAACTTTGTCCCTTAAGTACAGCATAATTTAAGTACAAAGAAAATTCTACTTACATTACTGGCTCTATCCTAGTAGATAATGTCATATTTTCTCGACTTTTGACTATTTTTAGCAACGTCTGTTTTAGCAAAATTAAAGTCAAATTTACACGTATCTAATGAAAAGCACCATCTATATATCTGCTCTTGATTATATTTGATGCAGAGCAAAAAAATCATGGCGGCATTAAACACCGTCAACGATCAGATGAGAGTGACCGCTTCTCTCGATTCGAAAAGTTTCGCTGGGATCCGCAGGGAATCATTATGGTTGGTAGCGGGAACCAGTTGACTCTAGAATGGTTGCAGAGGGTCTGCAGCTTTCTCAATAGTTGCGGAATCCTAAGGTAAGACAGGTGTATTGCGCAAAAATTAACTCTTGAACTTTTTGAAAACTAAATTTGAATGAATAAACCCTAATATGGTATGGTACCGGGGCGGGTTTGTATAAAAATTTCACCTTAAATATCGTAAATTTATATTCATTGGTATAGTACACCCATTGTAATAGTTGTAATAATGAAGACGGTAAAACAAACTTGGAAATGTACCAAGTTAAATATAAGAAATACTATTGATAATAATTTTTAAAAAATAATTAAGAAACGTTAATAAATCCACGGGTACATCACCCCCTTGTGATCCTCCCTGCAGTCTAAACATCCATTTCCATTACTGTCTCATGACAGCCTCACAGACCTGATAACAGACCCCATCAACTTCTTTTGACTTCCCTTCTTAAATAGGGTAAATTTCGGTTTCAAGTTCAGTGTTGTGGGTACTCTGATACCTCACCTTCGAAACGTTAGCAAAACGTCGAAAGGGAAAAATCCAATGGAAAAGTAAAACCTAAAACCCTGAAAGAGTACAAATTCTTAGAACTTAGAACCCCTCTATACTTATAATATGTATACATATATCAGTAAGTAAGTTTCCCTATGAAAATAATCTCCCTTAATTAATTAGCCCATTAATCTCCCTTTTCACGGTGACTAGTGAGTTTTTACTGACAAATTGCCCCTCTTGGAGGTCAAATTCCCCTTTTTTTCATCGAATTCCAACTATTTACAAAAATACTGATATGCTAAACTAAATATTAATAACGGAAAGGTAAATTCAGATTGATAAAAACGTTTAAATTTACCTGTTTACAATTCGGGCTCTCAGTTGAACAAAATGTGCTCGCTTCTCGCACCGACAATTCAACAAAATGGCGTAGATTTTCATCTCCAGAAAATTCTGAGTGGTTAGCTCACAAATATGGGGACTTCTACCAAATCCAAGTTTTCACCCCAAAACCAATTAAGCCAGCTACCACTTGACTTCCCAACGACTCTAAAATCCCACAAAAGGTGGATGTTCCAAAGAACGCAGCAAAGAGGACCGCCGGTAAAATCTGCCAACAACTTGTTACTTGCAAGGTGCGAATTTAAAGAGAACGACCCTATTTTGGCCATTTACCAGATGCGCTCATATAAGAAATTTCCCAGAATTCTAAATGTTCCAAGATGCCCTCTGGTGTCAGATTTCCGGTCTTGACCAGGAAAACGAGACAATCAGTTTGAAACGAACAACCCAAACCATATTGATGCCAAACAAACTCAAAGTTGTTATCCAATTTTGTCCCCCAACACTTATTAATTAATATATATAAGATATAATCATCATCTACCCGATTTTTAGCCTAAAAACTATCAAAATGACCACTCGTTCAGTGAGCAACGTAGTAGCAACGCGACAAAGGTCAAGAAACCTCGGCAACAGCGCTTCCCGAATATGATCAACAAGTGTCCCATAACCACACTTATGCGGGAAAATGAATAACCGGAAAAATATAAATATAAGTGGAATTAAGGGTGAAACATTGATTAAAAGGGTGTGAAAGTGATTTGTGGTATTGCAGAATTTTTAATAATGGAAAATACGAGACTCGTAAGTGTTAATTTATTTGGAAGTAAACAAACATTTTCATCAATAGGGATTTTTAGACAACTATCGGCTAAATAAAATAGATTTCGATCCTATAAGTAGGGCTTTATTATCCCAAAACTACCCTGTTATCTGAATACAAAGAATTAACTCAGTATTACCTCGAAAAATATACCTTTGTTCAACACCCACATATTGTTTCGCATTCAATCAAAAAGGTATAAACCTAGTAAAATCCAATGAGAAACCTATCAATCACCGAAAAATATTAATCCTCAGATGTAAAGCTTCATACATACCCTCACAAATACCTGAATTAATTACTGAATTCATTCGAAATCTCAGTTACGTACGAAGGCAAAATTTGTACGTAACACAGGGCTGTACCAAGAGGTGGATAGCACAATGGACCACACTTTTTGGGACAGTTATTGGTGCTTTTTTGCTCTCAAAAATACAATTCGACGAATCAAGAGCCGTCAATAATGAAAATCTGAACTATTTCTGGCTCTTGAATGCATTCAGAAAAATTGTGAAAACATCAACTAAAATTTGAACTATTGAATGTTTACAGCAGCCGGTAATAATCAAAATTTGGACTACCTACTAAATCAGATTACATAACGTGTTTCCAACAAGAACATCCCTTTGTGAAGTCCTTCAAACATTAAATAGCCGACACAGTAACTAATTTCCAAAGTGACATTTTAATACACTATTTCGAAACTAATTTTAAGCAAAGTTTCCTTTGACTCAGTTCCGCAACGAGCCCCCATCTTCTTAGAAATTCAAATTGCAAAAGGACAACGTCTTCTCGCCGAATACAAAAAGATGCTTTTCGCGCGATCCCTTGTTATACGCTTAAATGCATTCATATGAAAACTCCGTGTTTCGTACATGCCTTTGCATGCCGAGCAAAGGATTAGGTTGGGAGCTTAGGTTAGTTCCGGAGTAAGATTGTATTTTATTTTAAGCTACCTCAAACTAATCCTTGATAAGAGTTTTGATATTATTTGTGTGTAGGTATATTTATAACAAAAATATTTGGGCAATAATATACAACAATAATTGAACAAACAAATAAAACCCATTCTGTTTGCTCTTTGAAGTTGTGCCTGGAATATATTTAAATTTTGATAACCAATTTTTACCCTGTGAACTTTCGAACAAACCGATTTAAAATAATCCTATTTGCCTTTCCAATTTCGTTCCGAACCACTTGGCTAATTGGCGAATCCAATAACTATAATTATTTAGGCTTGTTGTTTTTTTTTTTTTTTTGTTCAATTATTGGTTTAGAATGAAAAAATATATAAAACAAATGTGAAATTTAACAAAATTGAAGTAGGGTATCGATGGATTTTAACCTTTTATTTATAGTAATTATTTAGGTCATTTGTTGTATAAATTGAATAAAATTCGGTTTAATAATAAATTAAAATATACACTGAGTTTTGGCCAGAATAATATTTTCGATATATTTTTTTCAGAGCCTATGCAGTGACGATATTTATAGGAGAAACTTTATGGGTTGCAACTGTGTTTCTGAAACTCACTGTGAGGTAAGATTTAGTAGATGCAATAGAATACTTCCATTAATTTGTTTTCTTACCTTCTCAACATAGCCATGTGTGTATTTACACTCTCAATTTGGTTTCGTTTATATCTTTATTGATTCAAACTCAATTTTAGAAGATAAAATCGTATGACTTGCAGGCCAGAATATCTCCAGGAAAAAACTACATTTGATTTTGTTTGGAATCAAAATTTCACCGTTTCTAGTTATAATTGTTTTTTTGTCTAGTTCTGCTGCAGAATATATACAAGTTTCCGCTCGTTTCGGTTATCCGTGCACTTAACTGACAACCTGCACAACATAAATTTCGAAACTCGAACATAAATTGTCGACCAAAGAACAGTTGTAGCAGTTTATATTACACTGTTGGTTAAAATGTGATTTATGTGGGAACGATACGTTGCTTCAAGGGAATTGAACCACTTTTAAGTGAGCTAGACGATTTGTGAAATAATTCATATTTATATAAAAAGTGATCTTTCTATTTATATTTTGTGGAGACTTTTATAAAAATACGCTTCTTTATTCGATTAAGAAGTAGAAAAATTATCAGCAGTATGAATGTATACATTATAAATCATAACATCACAGGTTAAAACAATTGCTAGTTGACATTAGCTTATATTCTAGACTTTTCAACGAAATCCAGTACAAGGAAAACGTTAATAGTATAAAACCAGAACAAAGAGGGGTTAGTCCCTGGAACAATTTAATGTTAACAGACCCGAAACTCACCTAGCCAAATACATATAAATTGCATTTAACTAACACTGTATTACAAAGTGACTACAACTGTTCTACGGGGGACAATTTACGTTTTAAGCTTGGAGATTTATATTCCAAGAGTGTCGGCCGTTGTGCCTTTGCGCGCTTACATATAGAAGCGACCCGGCGATAAATTTTCATAAAAATAAAATACAAACAATATCTCAGAAGAAGATGCGGCATTTGAAGTCTATTGTGCCGGAGAAGCTAACTTGGCGGATGCGATATAAATTTTCTAAGACGACAAGAGAATTTTCAGATGGGATACGGGGACGACGTGAAATACGTGGTGGAATAGTAACATTGGTTAGTTAGATGCACAACAATCGAAGTAGATGGTCCATATTATAACCAGTAAAACAGCTTATAATGATGAGGCTGAAGAATTCTAACAGAAGAAACAAAGGGAGAATATTAGAAATTAAATCAGCGAAAACCCACCAATAAAGGACTGACATCTCATCTTCTCAGATTACAAGCCTTTGGTTATACTCAGAGAGAAGAGCCAATTTAGAGAGCCTAGTTATAAGAATCACGGTTTCAAATAACAAGTACCGAATTATATCAATATTTCGGGTGACACATGTTCTGCAAAACTTCATTATTTCAATACATCAGTGTTCGGTATTTGGTATCTTTTAGTCGAATCTGATTCGAGGCATTGGGTGGTATAAATAAAAACAAAGTACCTGCTACTACTACAAGGATTAGTATATTCTACATAGTATTTACTTCAAAACGAAATAGATATTACATTTCGAAACTACCGGAAATTAGTAAGTGCTATTTTGTAAAGTAAATACTGCGAAGAACATACTAATACTTGTATAAGTAGCACATACTTCGTTTTTATTCATACCACCCACTTTGGACTTTGTTGATGAAAAGAAAACGCATGCATTGAAAAAATCCTCTAAAAGCGGTCTTAGTTATATGTTCATGTTGACCTGGAACTTGGCATGTGAAAACCGCAAGATTGTGCCTATCATACTCTTTCAGTTATGAATTTTCTCATGAAGGAATTTTCGTATTTTTGAAACCAAAATTGAAGATTAGAAGTTTGATGAGAAGTTCTCTGATAATTTACTCCCAACCTACAGTGTCAAAAAAGTAATTATACAGGTTATGAGAAAAATCTTAGAAATGATGCAGAATGGAAATTTTCATTGGATGATTACATGACGTCTTTTCGACATCGATTTCGATGTTCTCTTGCCTATTTTTGTTTACTTTTTCTAATTTTGATTTTTGTTGGGTAGTGAGTTTTTCGTGGAATTCTTGACTGATTATTCTGAGATTATCAGAGTGAACTTGGATGTATTGAGATAACTTTTGTTCTTCGGAGAGTTCCAATGGACTTTTGTACCCTAGTTTGCCTTTGATGATTTGAAAAGGTGTGTATTTTAGGGCATTTTGGGTAGAATTGTTGTATGATAAAATAGCGTAATTCATCAGATTTACGATATTTTCATTGGGCTTTTCATTTTTCAATGTGAGGATAGTTTCGCTTGGGGTTAAATTTGGGCATTCGATAGGGCTGTTCGAATTTGGGTTATGTGGAGTACAATAGTGTATCTCAATTTGATGTGAAGAGCATAAGTTTTGAATATTCTCGTTTTTAAATGTGGAACCATTATCGGTTGTTATTTTTCCTAATGTCCGTAATGAATGAAGTATAAACAATTAATTTGTTAGCCACTTTGGTACTTGTAGGTGATAATAAGGGATATGCATGACATATTTTTGAAAAACTATCGATTACTAAATAAAAATTCTTCTTGAGGGCAATGATATTTTCTTGTATGTCTCGATGGGATGTTTTTGTTTCTGGATAGTATTTTATTTTCAGTTGCTGTTCATGATAACCGTGAATATCCTCGAGAAGTTTGTTGGATATTTGCAGGGAAAAGGAATTATGTTTGAAGTATACAATAGGTATTTTTCGGAACAAAGTGTCAAAAAACTAGTTGGATTTCATACTAATTCAGGGCGTAAGGGGCACGAAGTACTGGGTCTTCAACACTGGAGGCTTGGGTTTCTAGATCGGGTTCTTCAAATATCTTGGGTTTTTGTTGGCTTGCTGTTCTCATGATTTTTTGACAAACAATCTTAATTTTTTTGGGAGTTTTCTGATGGAAGTGAGTTGAGAGTTTTGTCGATATCGTCGCAAGACAATAATTGATCTATTGGATTTATCTGAATTCGTGAAAGGGAGTCTGCATTAGTGTTTTATTTGCCTTTTTTGTAAATAATTTCGTAGTCGTATTCTTCCAATTTCAGGTGCCATCTAACTAGTTTGTAGCCTCGTTTTTGAACCGAAAACAACCATTGAAGAGGTTTATGGTCAGTTATAATTTTGAACCGGGTATCGAAAAGGTAGGGCCTGAAATACTTGGTGGCCCACACAATGGCCAATAACTCTTTCTCTATAGTGCTGTAATTCAGCTCAGCTAGATTAAGAGTTCGAGAGGCATATGTTATGGGTAAATCTTCATCAAATGACCTTGGGACGAAACATTTCCTATAGCAAAGTTTGATGCGTCTGTTGTCAGGTTAAATTGTTTTGAAAAATCAGGATGTTGAAGAATGGGGTCGTTCATTAGAATGTTTTTGTATGGACATTATCCATGACCCTTTGGAAAGTTGTAGGAGCATTTTTTAGGCCAAATGACATTCTGATATTCTTGATATGTCCATTTTCGACATTTAAGGCTGTCTCTGGAATAGAATTTGGATCCATTTCGATCTGATGGAACCTTGAAGCCAAATCGAGGGGTTATGAAATAGTCTTCTATTCGTAAGATCTATATTTGGATTTATTTTACGTAGATCTCGTATGCCAATGATCCCATCGTAGTAGTCATGGAAATTAAATACAATAAATTCAAGTTCTGTGTTTGAACCGTATTCGCCTAGTGAGGGGATTTTTGCTTTGTACTGTGTGTGTGTGTGTGTGTGTGTGTGTGTCCAGTACATGTAATGAGAGTGTATTTTGAATTCTACCTAGATTAAATGTGGAAAATGTTGTTCGGCAATAAATGGTCTTATTAAACAAGTGTAGCTGCCTGTATCAATAACAACCTTAGCTGGTGGATTTTGAATTTCTATATATGGAAGAGAGTTGGCTTGGAAAGTATTTAGATTTAAGGTGGCCTGGTTACAATATTCGTTGTTTTCAGGCTCAAATTAAGATTGATTTTCGGCGTAGTAATCCTCTGATGTTTCATTCTGAGGTTCGAAGAAGCGTCTTCTTGCAAATGGGTTAATTCTGCGAGAGTAAAAGGATTGTGTTGGAAGTTGTTGAAATTTTGGCGTATAGTTGGCCTTTGAGAATACCTTGTTTGCAACGATGGGATTCTGCTTGTTGTTGACATCGGTGTTGGATTGCCAGTAGGTTTGTTTGAATTTTTCTTAGAAAATGTACGTCTTTTGCGTCCGCAAACTTGCTTATTGGTAGGGAAGTTTTGTTGAAGTTGCCTAGAATAAATGTTAATAGGCTGGCTGGAAATAGTTAGTCAATTTTGGTACGTTACACCATGGCATGTGAAAGCCGCAAGACCATGCCTGTCATACTTTCCCAACTATGAATTTTCTCATGAAGGAATTTTCGCATTTTTGATTGAAAAATTGGAAGTACGATGAGAAGTTATCTAATAATTTGTTCTCGACCTACGATATCAAAAAAGTGATTGTACAATAAGTTATGAGAAACATCTGAGAAATGACGATAAATAGAAATTTCCATTGGAGAATTCATTTGAGCTTTCTCAAAAAGTGACAAAAATTAGCGTTTTGTAAAACTTTCCCAGAAACAATTATAGTCTGGCTGATGAGAGTTAAACAGGGACGAAAGGGAAAGAAATCACAAGCAGTAGTAAATGGTGCCTCAAAAATCAAGAAAGCAGAGGCGCGCGCATTATTTCTCAATCAATAAATTTATTATTATTTTTATAAGACACACAATCTGCGATAATTTCAGAACTAAGCTTATGGTAATATTTGGAATAAAATGATGGGATGTCCCTTGGCACCTGAACTGCTCAGCTGCAGCCAATCACATATGAATCATCCACCTGCAGTGTTACAAAATCCGGCCTCCGAAACACCCTGTTGCCGGATGTTGCTTTAATTATTTTGCAAAACTTAATTTCATAGCTATAACTCCACGATTTCTCATGACATATTATGTCATAATTAATTTTAAATACATAACCAAATTCTGAATAGCAAAACTTTAATCATTGGTCTTCTTAAAACGCAAAGTCAAATAAATCATAGACGCGATAAAAAAAATGCATGGAACATTGACGATTGAGTTTTATTGAATTTCCGGAAAATGATTTGGCTTCATTCTAAATTTATTGCTCGCATTCTTTCTGCCGGTATTCTCTCGTCAACCAGACTACAGGGTGTCCCAGGGAAAACAGTCCACCCCGATTTATTGGGTTTGGGATGAGAATCTGGGAAAACGCTCGGACACGTCGATGTTTGATTTGAGAGGGAACTATTTTTCAGTTTTTTTTTATCCCCGTAGCTTCAACCCTCTCGCTAGGGGGAGAACAACCCCCCAAATTTGAATAGGGGATAGGGGTCATCTCATATCTCTTTTTAAAGGTATCATCGAGTTCTTTATGCCTCTAGAATTTCGTCTCGTTATTTTTATCCGTAACGAAATGACAGCTTGTCAAAATCTTGGAAATGGACTATGTTTTAGTAGGAGTAAAAGCGGTACTTACCTCCCGGAGTAAAAATACGAGTAAAAATACCTATAATTCACAATTCTCGTATACACCTCATTAATAATAATAAGAAAAAACTTCATTTCAAGTATTTTTATTAAGGGAGGTAAGTATCGCTTTTACTCCCACTAAAACAAATAGTTTATTTCCAAGATTTTGACAAGCTGTCATTTCGTTACGGATAAAAATAACGAGACGAAATTCTAGAGGCATAAAGAACTCGATGATACCTTTAAAAAGAGATATGACATGACCCCTATCCCCTATTCAAATTTGGGGGGTTGTTCTCCCCCTAGCGAGAGGGTTGAAGCTACGGGGATAAAAAAAACTGAAAAATAGTTCCCTCTCAAATCAAACATCGACGTGTCCGAGCGTTTTCCCAGATTCTCATCCCAAACCCAATAAATCGGGGTGGACTGTTTTCCCTGGGACACCTATATATACCGATCTGGCATCATCACCTCTGACTGTAATAAATAGGCAGAGAATCAAGAAATGGATTCTATGGACCGGTATCAGGGCAGCCTTTGTTAGCGTCAGCTCGAAATCGTCATCAAGTAACACTAGGGTCAGGAAAAAAGCTTGGATGACTTGATGGAAGAAAGACGACAGCAAAAAGGCCAGCCAGCATATCGTCAGTTAAATTGTGAAATAAAAAACAAAGTCAGGGGAGCCAAAGAAAATTGGCTAAACGAACGATGTAAGGAAATCGAAGATCTTGAAGCAAAATGAAGTTTAAATATGCCTAAGAAAATTGAAGAAGCCTCTGGTGTATACCTACAAACCTCGATAGAGCGGCATTCTGTTGGACAGTCCAGATAAGATAGTTCTTGATGTCAACGAAAAAGTAAAACCGTGGTGCAGCTACACCGAAGACCTGTTGCAGGACAAGAAATCGGACATTTCTGGAGAATATTCACGAGAAGGACTAAAAACAGGAAAGCTGCAGGTCCAGACGGTCTACTCAGAAGTTATTAAAATCCTGAAAAATGAGAAGTCAATTCACGCAATAGTGAAGGTTTCAACATGGTTTACCGATCGGGCATCATGATTGTTTCTGACTGGCTTAAATCAACATTTGTGACGCTTCCGAAGAAAGGTTCTGCAAAAAGATGTAGTGATTATCGCCTTATTAGCTTGATGAGCTACTTTCTCAAGATTTTTTTTTAAGATCATCCATAAAAAAATATACTGTAAGTGCAAGATGGTTGAGAGAGGTAGATTGCCTGATAACTTTTATGACGTCATCTATATGCATAGACATAATGCAAATCTCCATAAGGCACCCCAGATGCGTCATCAAGTTACCCACTACCAGACAACTTTAGGAACCTTGCTATAAGTGCAAGTCTTTTACTGGCTAATCCGAATTTGGCTTTGGCATAAGCAAGGCCGTGTTTAGCATCCAAGTGCTAGTTTAAAGATGTAGAGATGTTTCTGTTCCTGTATAGGCATGATTCGTAGACTATGAGAAAGCGTTTGACAGGGTACAAAATGAGAAGCTTATGAAAATTCTCAAGGATGTAGGCCTAGATAATGAAGATTTCAAGATAATCGAAAGTGTCTACTGGAATCAGACTACGCAAATCAAGGTAGAGCAATAAATCTTTGACGAAGTACGGATAAAAACAGATGGCCGGCAGAGTTGCATCCTTTCACCATTACTTTTTAATATTTATTCGAACAAAATATTTGAAAAAGCATTAGAAGACTGCACTGAGGGAATTTTTATCAACGGTGTGAACAATAACATTCTCTAGTATGCGGACAATACGGTTTTAATCGCTGATTCTCTGGAATATTTTCAAATATTACTTGACCATTTGGCTACTGAAAGTGGAGAATTTGGATTAAAATTGAACGCCAAAATACGAAATGGATGCTAATTGGTAAGAACCATGTTGGAGGAGGTATTCTTCAGGTACAGAACCAACAGATCGATCTGGTTCAATCATACAGATACCTAGAATGTCAGGTTAGTGAAGACTGAAAAAACATGCAGGAGGCTCGTGCCAGGATTGAACAAGCCAGAGCATCATTTGTAAAAATGAATTCCATGTTGTGTAGTCGATGTCTCTCGCTCTTCGTTCGCACTCGAGTACTACGTTGCTACGTCTTCAGTAGACTCTGACTGACACCATGTGTAAACAGCTAGAAACTTTTGAAGTGTGGACATATAGACAGATGTTAAAAATATCTTGAACGGACAGAGTGCGCAATGAAGATGTGCTAACGAGAATCACGAAAGATCTTGAAATTATGTTTACGCTTAAAAAGCGAGCTAAAGTTAGAGTACTTCGGACACGTACTCAGGAATGACAGAAACCTACATCTCAAGCTCATAATCGAGGGAGAAATCGAAGGTAGAAGCCCTGGACTTCGAAGAATATCTTGGCTGAAGAATTTGCGTCACTGGTATGACGAAACCACGACAAGTCTATTCAGAAAAGCAGTCGACAAAGTGCAGATAGCGCTGATGATTGCCAACGTTCGTAGAGAAGAAGGCACTTGAAGAAGAAGAAGAAGAAACAATTGGGGATCTGAAGTTTTTAAGAAGTACATATGGGTACTTTCAAATACTTTTGTTGGTGCCATTTTTGGAAACTGGAAATTATCACAGGGATAATTGGGGTTCTATTAAACTTCACCAGAAAAAGTTGCGCAGCTGAAACTTGCAGGAAGTATACCTTGAAATGTGGAAAGCGCAAGTTTCTATGTTAAGTACGAATTTTTCCGTGAATGCAATTTCGCGATTTCTGTAAACATGAAAGAACATCGGAAATTCGATATGAAGAAGTTCCTCAAATTTCCAGCAAAAACTAAATTGGTCGAAGATAGCAACGGAAATTTTGAAATTTGATATCTTTAGATTACCGCAGAATGGTCTTTCCGTATTTCTCATCATATAATTAGTTGTAAGAACAAATTTTCAGATAGCTATATCAGCTCCGATTTTCCAAATTTTCATCGTTTCAGTGGTGCAAAACTTTCTCACTCCAGTCCAGTAAAAACCTGGATTGTTTCTTTTTTAATATAACTCAATTCAAAAAGATAAATATTGACAAATAAATTAATCTTTCTCCTCTAACTTCAAAGCGAACAAACCTGCCAAAAAGTTTACTGTACTAGTTTGGCAAACTATGCCTATAAGTTCAACACTTAAGCTAAAATAGATCGAATGTAACGGGCGAAGATAAATCGTTACTAACTTTTGTTTTTACTTCGGAGGAAGATTAATTGTAGCATGGCGTGTCGGAGGAAATGGGAAAAATTGAACTGATATAGTAAAATATCGTTCGATTACATCATTAAATGAAGCAAACTACATTGATTTTCTATTCCAAAAACTTACCAAAGAAAAATGCCGGTAACGAGGCTACGCTTCGAGGCTTTATTTTCGGGAGACGAACAAGGGAATTATAAATGAACTGCACTTAACTTGATGTTCCTAAATAAAATATTTCCTCTTGGCCTTGTGCTTGCGCTTTTCCTCTTGAAAGCAGCCAATTATCACATGAATTACGTTTTCGACAAGGAAAAGGTATAATTTTTTTTGCAGTTAAAATAAACTGAATAAACGATTTCAATAAAAAGAAGAATGCAATTAAGGGTTTTATGCAGTTGACGCGCAGATCAGAAAGTCATTAAACTTTGAAGAGAAAAATGTGAGAAAAGCGTTTTGTAAAGTTAAATTTTCTAGGAAGCGCTTTAAAGTTTTAAATTAAAAATTTACCTTAAACAGAAAAATTTGAATTCACTGCTTGCATGCATTACCGAAATTTGAATCCGATGTGATCCAATTCCGGTTAACGAATGACGATGCCCAAACCAGAATGGGAGTTGATTAAATTAATGTAGTGGTATCCCGAAAACTTCGTGACACAATTTCTCCCGTGCCAGGCATAAATAATGTGAATAATCTGCCAAGGAGATTGATAGTGCCATAAAAGTGCGGTGCTAGATTAGACCTTCTCTTATTCTCCGCAGTAACATTGATTAAAGATCGACATATTTTTTTTTCTAGGGCTGATCACAGATTTTGGAAAATATGGAAGTACTGCACAATGTTGGACGATTGGAAGAAAACTCCTCCCTACATCCTAATGGGACTCATGGCCATGTATAAACCTTATAAATTATGGCTGGTTTATTTAGGTGGAGGCTTTGCCATTTTCTTGGGCCTTCTTTATTCGATTATATCAGTTTTTCAAAAAATTTTAAAGAAGAGGATAGGGAAAAAGGAAAATCGATTGGGCGATTTGGATAGTTTAGAAAGGTAAAAACTAATTATTATTTTTATATTCCCTATAATCAACATCAAAAATAAATTAACTATTTTGCCATGGAGCAATTTTAAATGAAACATTATTATAGGGATATTTAAACCAGCAAAATGTTATTATGATAATAACTGTTTCACCAATATGCCTTTTAATCAATTTATATCCAGCACAAACTATATTGGTTATTGCATTTGATATTTGAATTTGTTTAATCTATTTTAATAAAACCTAAATAATTTAGTAGTAGGTTTGAAGAAATCACAGAAGTCCTGGACGACGCTATACCAGAACCAATGCCCGGCAGTAGCGTGTCGCTATCTGATCGTTTGCGTCCAGATCAAGAATCCGTCCATGAAATATGACCAGAAGTGCATCAAACTCCGGATTTATTTAGGTGAGACCCAACAATGATATTTTATAAAAAACTATATTGAATTATTTTTTTTTTCTGTAGGCATATTATAGACTGCAGTTGGATGGAAGAGGTGGACGACGTAGATTTAATTTTGTAAATCGTCTTGATAAGGTCCTAATTTAAGAGCTTATGAATGTACAATGTAATATTTAAATTTTAAGGATGACAAATTTAGTTATATCGAAAGTAAACAGTCGAATCAAAATAAAACTACATGCATTAAATGTGAGTGGTGTTCAGAGAGAATTTTGTTGTTACTTTCTACGCAGTGGTGCAGTCTTGAACTGTAATATCAATATTTTTTCTTGCGGCACTGAGATCTCTTTGATGTTCTGAACTAGGAATGGCATATCCTTTTCAAGTATTTTTTAATACTGAATCGAATTACTCCATTTGCAAGTCGATCATTGAATCACTTGTTACAAAGTTACTACAGGATTCATGAAAAAAAAAAAGAGGACAATTACACTCTATAAATGGGCTCAACTAGCACTTTCTCACTTTTGAACTCAATTTTTGTATATTTTCCCTGTGTTGTTCGAATATCCTGCGTTTGGTATTGATTCCACTTATTCGATACTTTTCAGTTACTAGACGCTTGATTACTCCGAACTCTGACTCAGATACTACAGAAGGATGATTTGGAGGATTCTTCCTTGGATGCTACCTACTCTGGAAAATCTGGTCCAACAAGATTTGCAACTCAAAGGTGACAGTCACACGAACTTATTGCAGAAAACACTGTCAGAATTCACTATTTATCTCCACCTTAATATTGAAAGGAGTAGATAAGCTATGAGAGTTCAAACTCAAAACTGCTTCCTTTACATATCAATTTTCAAGGCGATTCAGGCAAAGATTTCAAGAATTTATTCATAGATTTCAATATTTTCTCTGAGAAGTACATCTGCTGGACCGCCTCTTTCTAGGCTGCAATAATTGATTGTTTTCAGAGTTTTCTCTGCGACTTTTCCTAAAATTTGACCGAGATGTAACATTCGTCCAAACATTGTGAATCGTTGACCCGGGTGTTGATCATTCACAGCTCAAATCCCTATTAAGATGACTTGCTATATGAGCATATTGTGTCCAAATTTGTATCGCTTCATAAAGTGCAATTTCTTACTTTTTGAGAAACAATGACAAACCAATACCCAGTCTTCACTGCATATCCAACTTCAAACAGCTTTCGATATCCTTGCTCCTCGTCAGTTCAGGGTAGCAGGACAACAAAAGCCAGAACCAGTTTCCCAGGCATTGTTTCTGTATCTGCTAGAATCTATCAAACCAATGATCGATAATATTTTATGGCTATACTTTAGGTTCAATCCAATTAATTTTTCAAACTGGTTAACATTGCAACCAAAACTTTTATATTTTAGTTTGAGATTCTACAATCTTTAATCTTTTCTAGTATGTAATATAGATGTAGATGTGATGTTTAAGCCTTAAAACGTCAATTTTTTAAAGGATGTTAATTTTTCCTTAGAGGAATTTGTAAATGTTTATCAGTTGTTGAAAATATTATTTATTATGTTGATTTTATTCGAGGTAGGATGGTTTAGTTTTTGTTTCATGAATCAAATCAAATATTTAATGAACCCCAAAAATATGTAAATATGGTTAATCAAATAGAATATTACGACTGCTAAAAATAATTTTTAATTATTGTATAAAATTGAACTCGAAATTAACTGTCTAGATTAAATAAAACTGTTTTTGTAAACTTTGGTGCGTTATTTCTATTATTTGCATTGGGCATGAAAAATAACATCGACGATCGACGGATAGAAAAATGTAGTTACCACGCGATTAAAAATGTCACCAATTCTAAACTTTGGAACTGCACAGAGCTTCTACAATAACCTAACTCAACTACTTATCAAGAAAATATGAACATAATCAAAAACTGGAGCGAGGAAGACAAACTTTCCATAAATCCGAGCAAAACAACTTTAGCTCTATTGAATTATTAAGTTTGTTCGGACTTAGTTCAGAATCAATGCGCATTTGTTCATATCAAATATACTTATATAAACAAATGCGCAAGCGCAGTTCAATTTAGAACTGATTCTAATCTAAGTCCGAACAAACCTTATTATATACTGTGCTATTATCTCCAGTTGCCATATACCAGTACAATTCTTGTGTATTTCCATCATATAGAAATAGTGAATTGTGAATTGAATTAAACGTAGTGTGTTTCTGTATTGTGCTTCCACTATAAAATCTAATAGGTTATGGGCCCAGTCCCAGTGCAGTCGCTAGTGTGTTAACCAGTATAAATTCAAGGAAATGAAAAAAGAAAAACAAAAAGGATTTTTTTTGCGGAATTTGCAAAAAGTAATTTAAAACAATAATTTACAGAGAAACAGAATTCATACTATGTAAAACCATTTGATGGAAGCGGATTTGCCAATTGGAAATTTAGAATTAAATTATTATTAAAACAACAGGGAGTTTTGGATGTTTTAATTACTCCAATGCCTGAATCCTCGGATGCTCAACAGGCTACCTGAAAAAAAATAATAATATAGAGGCAAATATGTTCATTGTACAAAGTTTGGCAAATAATATTCTTGATTCTGTCTAACTGAAAACCAATGCAAAGGAAATGATGGATAGTATTTACACAAAAAAGGGCATATTAAATCAAGTTATGTTGCAGAGACAACTATGAAGTTTGACGTTTACAGAGGGAACACAGATGCATAGTTTTTTCACAGAATTTGATAATACTCTGAAGTGAATTACAGGCTGCAGGAGGGAACATATAGATGATGATGAAGTGATTTTACAGTTTATTATCTGCTATGCCAGAGTATTTTCAGAATGTAATAACAGCAATAGACATCATGTTTTGCCAGAATCAAAGCGCAGTGGACATAAGTTTTGTAAAAAACAAACTTCTGATGGAGGAGGCCCGACAATTGAAGAAAAAAAGATGAGGAAGAATACTGTTTTTCTGTCAAAGCATAACAAAAGATGTGAAGGGAGAAAGCCTGGAATATAAAGAGGTAATTACAATAATCCTGGAAGTTACTCAGGAAATTCTGGTGTTAATCAGGGTGGAAATTTCCCATTCAAGCGTCATTCGTATAACCAGACAGGGCATAAACGAGCAGAATGTCCACAAAATAAATATAGGAATAATGAAGATAATGGAAATTATAGAGGAAATTATCATTCTGGTCTTAAGGGAATTTTTTCTCAGAGATATAATGCTAATAATGTTTAGGCAGCAACTCGGGAAACAAGTAATGAACAGGTGGTGGAAGACATAAAAATTTTACCATCAGAGGATAACACTGGAAGCAATATGTATTTTGTTGTTGACAGTGGAACGACATTTAATCTCAGAAAAATATGGAAAATACATGCAGGAAAGTGATAAAATGTATTTCATAAGATAAATGTGGCTAAACAAGGGCAAATAATCATAGCAACAACATAGGGATTTTAAAATCATAAACGGAAACTAGTAAACATATAACTATGAAAGATCTTTGGGTGACAATTTACTCTATTATTTATTATCTGTAAGAAAATTGGGAGAAAATGACTTTGAAGTAATGTTTTTCAATACAAAGGTGACAATTATCAAAAATGCAAGTAGATATACATGGTTCGTTCACCATCTTCCGACGCCTCCGTGACGTCTGCGCATGCGTCAACCATGGTGTTGCGACGATAATACGTTATCAGTCAAAAATCTCTAAACTAACTTCAAAAAATTTGGGATTGGCCCGGATCAAACCCCCGAAACTTCAGAGCAAATGCGCCGCCGTACTAGAGATTTTCCCACGGTATTTAAAAAGTTCCCAGGCTCAGGTGCCCCCGTTACAATACTTGAAGGAGTGTTGAAAGGAACTCTCAAACTAAGCCAAATGATCGACGCCAATACGTTATCAGTAGAAAATCTCTGAACTAACCCCAATAAATTTGGGATTGGCCCGGGTCAAACCCCCGAAACTTCAGATAAAATGCGCCGCTGATCTAGAGATTTTCCTACAGTATTTAAAAAGTTCCCAGTCTCAGGTGCCCCCGTTACAAAGTTACTTGAAGGAGTGTTGAAAGGAACTCTCAAATTAACCCAAATGATCGACACCAATACGTTATCAGTAGAAAATCTCTGAAATAACCCCAAAAAATTTGGGGTTGGCCCGGGTCAAACCCCCAAAACTTCAGATCAAATGTATCGCCGATCTAGAGATTTTTCAACGGTATTTAAAAAGTTCCCAGGCTCAGATGCCCCCGTTACAATACTTGAAGGAGTGTTGAAAGGAACTCTCAAACTAACCCAAATGATCGACGCCAATACGTTATCAGTAGAAAATCTCCGAACCAACCCCAAAAAATTTGGGATTGGCCCGGGTCAAATCCCCGAAAGTTCAGATCAAATACGCCCCCGATCTAGAGATTTTCCCACGATATTTAAAAAGTTCCAAGGCTCAGGTGCCCCTGTTACAATACTTGAAGGAGTGTTGAAAGGAACTCTCAAACTAACCCAAATGATCGACGTCAATACGTTATCAGTAGAAAATTTCTGAATTAACCCCAAAAAATTTGGGATTGGCCCGGGTCAAACCCCCGAAACTTCAGATAAAATGCGCCGCTGATCTAGAGATTTTCCTACAGTATTTAAAAAGTTCCCAGGCTCAGGTGCCCCCGTTACAATGTTACTTGAAGGAGTGTTGAAAGGAACTCTCAAATTAACCCAAATGATCGACACCAATACGTTATCAGTAGAAAATCTCTGAAATAACCTCAAAAAATTTGGGATTGGCCCGGGTCAAACCCCCGAAACTTCAGATCAAATACGCCCCCGATCTAGAGATTATCCCACGATATTTAAAAAGTTCCAAGGCTCAGGTGCCCCCGTTACAATACTTGAAGGAGTGTTGAAAGGAACTCTCAAACTAACCCAAATGATCGACGTCAATACGTTATCAGTAGAAAATTTCTGAATTACCCCAAAAAATTTGGGATTGGCCCGGGTCAAACCCCCGAAACTTCAGATCAAATGCGTCGCCGATCTAGAGATTTTCCCACGGTATCAAAAAAGCTCCCAGGCTCAGGTGCCCCGGTTAAAATACTTGAAGGAGTGTTGAAAGGAAATGTATATTATGTATTTTAAAATAAATCAATATAAGCCTACAGTGCATTTGACAAGTGAAAATGTTTTTGCATAGAAGAATGGGACATTCAGCAAAATACCCACCTCCATGCTTGTGTGAAATTAAAACAACCAGATTGCTATTTTTAGAAAGCAAAGCCAATAGAATCTTGGAAACGGTGTCTACTGATATTCGCGGGCCAGGTGCGACAATGGGGATGCGACACTGGGGTTTTATGTGCGACAATGGGGGTGGGTAAATACACATCACATGCTTTTAAAGACATTTGTCAAGAGATAGGCATAAGAATACAATATAGGTACGGTAGATTATAATCGTCATATCTTGCAAACGACGCATCGTGCGAAAAATGTCACGGTATTCAAAGTTGAAAAGCATAAAATTCTGCATCGAATCACCTCCCTAAACTTGCTACTGTTGAATTTATAAGCTCGCCATCGTCAGTCGAAGAAAGCCGATTTTAATTAACTTTTGTGAAAACTGCAATGAACTTACTGTCTTATCACTAATATAATTAGACATAAAAGCAGGGGCGTGCGGTCCATGGAAGCGGGGGAAGCACCGCTTCCCTAAACTTTTTGGAGATAAAAAAAATAAAAAAATTACGATTTATTAATTTATAATGCGTAGCAATTGACAATAATTTAGTAATTATTTTCTCTGAAACATAACGTAAATGTACTAAAAGCTCATTGCGAAAACGTAAACGCAACCAATTTTTGTAGCAACGCGTCGAGCCCGAGCCCGGCCGGCGGCCCCGGACCAAGCTTGGAAGCGCGTATGGAAATCGCTGCAGTTCGCTTTGAAGGGGTTATTGGCTCTTTGGCTCCATACGCGAGGACGGCGAGCGAAAACGCGCGAATTCAGTAGCCAAGGCAGCGCTCGTTCCGCCGCCTTCCACTTATTTTATTTCGATTTGTATTGAAAATCCGATGCCGCCATTTCGCGAAATCGTAGTGCTGTATTTTTCATTGAATTTTCTGAGGCTTTTCGTGGTTGTTTATTTTTTTTTCTGCAATGGAGGTGCCATCTACATCTACTGTGCCCGTGCCGGTCCCCAATAACAATTTAGACTGTGTTTGCATTGTGTGCTGTTTAATAAAAAAAGCATTTTCTAGACCAAACGTTGAAGAGAAAAGGCACATCATTATTTCGGGTAGGCTAATGGATCCTATTAATTTAGAAACGAAAGTGGAGAAGTCGGCAAAGAAATTCACGAGGAATTTTCACGTTAGATTTTATGAGAAATATGAATGGTTAACCGGTTGCAAAATTACAAATGTACCTATATGCATAGTTCTAGAAAAGTGAATGAGCTTGAAATTTGCGAAAATTTTCGCCTGCGGTGCATTACAGGACAGAAGGGGGATACCCGCCTGTAACCCCCCTCGCCGCTTCCGTAACTCTAAAGACCACCGCTGTTACACCGCACGCCACTGCATAAAAGTCTTTTTTGTTGGGAATATTCAATATAATCCAAAATACGATTCTCCTACGCGATGGAATCTGTTGAGTCAGCAGCATCGGCAGTACCGAGTCGTTAATCTCCAG